GTCAGACATTTATGACGTGAGGAACCCATATTTATACAGACATAGATACGCATTGCTTTTAATAGTGTTATATAAAAGAAAACATTTGCAACTGTAAATTTAAAGTTCTGTTCTTTCAGACACTGTTTTCTATATAAATCATAGTACGAAATATTTTGAAATGGACTATTTATGACCTTCACTGGAACTTCTCAGTGTTTAATGTTTAACCGAATAGGACATTGCTACGAAAAATCAAAACCTTTATATTTTGTTGGATTTAAACCTTTTACGATAAGAAACAAAAGTTTGATAGTGATAGGGACTTAAAAACAAGTGGTCGAAGTCCGAGCAAGCTTGTGTGACACTAGTCTGAAATTCGTAGAGAGGTCAGATAAAATTTTTAGTCTCTCAGAATCTCTCTGAGATTACCTGAAGGGGTGTTGAGATAATCAAGAAGGGAAGCGTGCCCAACCCAATGCTGCAATATTATAAACCTGCATGTTAATTCAACTGGCAGTGACTTGTTGAACAATCTATCTCAACATGCTCAATACAGGTGTGGGGAAAGATGTATTTTTTTGCATGTTAGGTCAGGTCTAGTGCTTTACTGGACAAAGCTAGTCGAAATTGGAGGAAGTAGCCCATCTGGTCTAGTACTCGTTGACCTAAGCATATTCTGAACCAGAATTTGCTAAATGAAAATATTTACATCATAGAGAACCAAACCGAAAAAAATTTGCTCATCGAGGGTAAACAAATCAACATTTGAACATACTAGCTTTTAGCCAAAGTTATGCCATAAACTACTTCTGCATCGAATTTCTCTCAAAACTGAAAATAATCTGACGATGTATGTACACGTGTGGTCCGTAGGACAAACTCATTTAGACAGACTTGATAGAATGCATGTTTTACCTAGTAGTAGTACACGTGCTCCCACGTACAACATTGCTTTTAACACTTAAATAACGAAACAAACAGCATAAAAAACAAAAAGAATAAAGTCAACAGTATCACTTTTAATATACATACCTGAAATTAATCCTCTCACCATTCCGATGACATAAACTATGCCTTCTTGTCCCGAGCACCTGTTCAAAAAAAATCCTGACCATGCTCTCCGCGATCAAGCTTTCGACTGAAGCCGATCACCAATTGGGCATGCGCGAAAAACAATAACGTGTTTCCTTTCATCGAGAAAAACATGATGCATAATTAATAAATTCCCAGAAAAAGGTTTTTATTGCTAAGTATTTGATACATTGGAATAATTACAGCCATGAAAAAAGAGAATCATGCATTAGTTTATAAATGTCAGTGAAAACATATGTATAACTGTGTATGCAGACTGCAGCGGAGTTCTCATTGTGACGTCACAGTGCAACATTTTCGCGGATTTTTAGCTCCCCAAATTCTATATGCTTCCTTAACACCCCCGCGTCTGAGTGTAGTCGTTTTGGAAGGCCATAATGAAGAACAAAGTTGTTATAAAAAGCTTCGGCAGTTGTTTTGGCAGTTTGATTTCTTGTAGGTACGGCAACGGCATATTTCGTAAAGTGATCAGTGATTACTAAAATATGTTGATATCCGCCTTTTGAAGTTTCTAATGTCAGATAATCCAAACAGACTAATTCTGAAGTTTGTATGTTGACTAAAGGAGCTCTGTCAGTGGTTTGGCAATTTTCTTAACAGGCATTTTTTACAACCTTTAATCCATTCCTCGATATGATATGTCATACCAGGCCAGAAAAATCTCTCTCTAATAAATGATGTTGTCTTATCTCTCCCTGGATGACCAATGTTGTTTGGGAATACTTCAAAACTTCGTTGACTAAGTCAGGTGGTATAACAAGTTGTTGATGTGTCTCGGAATCCAGTGTTGTTTCTCGGTACAGCTTATTGTCGATGATCTTGAATTTGTCAAAGTTCTTTCTGAATATTGTTGATTCTTGTGTTGGTGGGAACTCATGTTTCCTAGGAAATCTCTTCTGCTCCACATAGTATATCCAGTCTCTTATGATAGGATCCTGATGTTGTGCTTTCTCAATATCAATATGATGAATATGCTGGCACTGTACTGACATCAAGGGCTGAAGAGTTTCATAGTTGAAACTTAAGCTTTCTATGTAAGGTTCTTGAGGCTGAACATGGATGCTTGCTATAGTCCTTATACAGTCTTGTGAGATTGGCAGGTAATCCTTAGGTTCTACAGCAGGTAATCTTGAGAGTGCATCAGCGTCTGAGTTGTTACGTCCTGGTCTGTAGAGAATATTAAAGTCAAATGCTGCCAATGCTGCCACCCATCGATGTCCAGTCGTGTCCAGTTTTGCTGTTGAAAGTACATATGTTAACGGATGTTGTCTGTTATTACTGTAAATTTCTTGCCAAATAGATAGTCCTGAAATTCTTCCGTAACTGACCATTTCAGCGCCAAAAATTCCAATTTATGTTCCGGATAGTTGCGTTCTGATTTACTTAATCTTCTACTAGCATAGGTAATTACATGGTTGATTCCTTCCTGTTTTTGATAGAGAATGGCCCCTAAACCAACTGAACTGGCATCCGTATGAATTTCAAATGGTAGGTCAAAATTAGGATAAGAAAGGATGGGTGGGGATGACAAACACTGTTTCAGCATCTGGAAAGCTTCTTCCTGATCTTGCTCCCAATGCCACTCAGGAATCCTAGTTTTCTTCTTCATTGTTGTTTTTGACTTGGTGGTTGATGGTATAAGATTTAAGAGGGGTCTGGCTATTTTTGAAAAGTCTTTGATAAATTTTCGATAATACCCCCAAAAACCTAAAAAAAACTTCCTAACCTCCTCTGGTTTTGTGGGTGTAGGCCACTCTTTAATCTTCTGAACTTTATCATCATCAGGTTCTATTCCCTTAGTAGATACAATATGGCCCACATATTTTATTCTTCTCTTAACCAAAGAACATTTCTTTGGTGATAATTTGATCCCACAATCCTTCAGTCTTTGGAATACCATCCTCAATCTGTCTAGATGTTCATCAAAATTATCTCCTGAAAACACAATAGCATCATCCAGGTAAATAAAACAGATGTGATGATGAAGATCCCCTAAACACTCCTCCATTAGTCACTCTTACGTTGCTGGAGCATTAACTACTCCCATTGCCATTCGATTATGTTCAAAGAAACCCAAGGGACCGACAGTGAAAGCAGTTCTCTCCTTGTGTTCTTCTGCTATAGGGATCTGGTAATATCCTGACTTCATATCTAGGAGAGAAAACAAAGTATTTCCAGCAAGCGAGTCCAATATCTCATCGATACGAGGAAGAGCATAGTTATCCTTCTTAGTCTTGCTGTTAAGATGGCGATAGTCTATGCAGATCCTCAGTTGTCCATTTTTCTTTCGTACTAGGACGACGTTTGATGAGAATGATGAGTGCGATCTCCTAATAATTCCGGCAGCTAATTGTTGCTCTATGTGCCCTCTCACTTCATCAATCATAGATGGTGGAATGCGACGGAAACGTTGCTTAAAAGGCGTTTCATCATCAAGCTCAATTCTGTGTTCCACAAAAGGGCAGTATCCAATGTTAGTGTCTCCTTTTGAGAATAAGGAATCATAGTCATTGAGCAATTCTTCAATTTTCTCTAGCTGCTCCTGAGAGAGTTCATCTCGAGGCAGGTCAATTTGCTCCAATACATCTGATGTTTCTGATGAGTTGTTCCTTGGAAAATTTTGGACACTGACTTGTTGCACTTCACACAGTAACGCATGAGGGTAGACTGTCACTTTGTTTGTAGTAACATTGTTGATGTGCACTGGTACTGGAAAATTCCTTGCAGTATCGTAGGTGATGACATTGGGCTCTATATCCAGATCAGCTGGAATACGAGAGTTGACAGTTGGTGACAGCATACCATACACAGGATGGTAAGGTAACTCATCATGCAGGTATCCCTGGATGACCACACTGCTGTTGGGTTGTATAGTCCCAGGTCTCTCCTAAGCTGACTTCACCAGTGCTAGCACGTATGAACGTCTGGATAACTCACGCTCACGCAGGGTCATACATCGAAAGTCAAGGTACCATGGAGTATGTAATTATGCCTTCTGTAGAAATCTGACACCAAATTTCTGTTTTGTTTCCATAAAAAGTACAGAAAGGATGTTGGTCCCAATAAGAACTGGTACTGACTCATGGTAAGTAGTCTCATTCACTATGAGAAACAAACACTCAATTGTCGCTGGTGCCTCAGAAATGCCTTCAACTCGTAGTTCACATGATATTACGCCATGATATGGCAATTCTGTCCCATCAGCACACTCAAGAGTAAGTAAGCAATCAACTGGCTGCAGTGGAATATCCTGTAGATGGGTATCATAAAATTTGCGACTTATAGTCGACACAGCAGATCCAGTATCGATGAGTGCCTGTGTCAGCACACCTTGTATCTGCACTTCTATCTCATTAGATGACCCGACAAGTGTTGTATTTTGTCTCGATAAGTGTTTCCTAGTCTTTCGTGGAATAAAATCATGTTGACGTCTTGAATGGTCTAGTCTAACATGGCAATTTGTGTCTAGGTGTCCATGTTGTCCACATCTAATGCATAAAATTTGTGAGTTGATTTCAGTGGGACAAGGTTCCTCCATAAAGCCGCCAATTTGTCCCTCATTAGTGGCTTCTATTGGTTTAAATTGAAATTTCTACCACGGTATCCACCATATCCACTTCTGTTTTGGTATGTGGATCCTCGGTTTCCTCTATATCCTCCTCTGTTTGGACATGATGATCCTCGACTTCTCCCATAACTTCCAGGGTTTCCTGAATAATTGTAATTCCCTGTATAAGTTGGTTCCGTTCTGGAAGGCAAATAATCCTTTGACTTTGATTTTTGGACTTCTCGCTCCATGTCTCCTATTCTTTTGTCCATATCCTCTAATTTTCTAAGGATCAGGTCCATAGAAGAATCTTTGTCTCCAATTTTGGATACTTGAGGTTTCTTCTTGTCATTTAATGATGATGATGGTGCTGATAACTTCATGTCAAGCTATGTAATTCCTTTCTCAGTGTTTCAAAGTCATTGATGGTGTCATACTTGTAGCGGCTCGCATTCCGGAGATTGTTATCACTAAACCCAGACCATAATATTGTTCTCAGCATCTCATTCACATCATTACTGATAGCCTTCCTCTCAATGCATCGCTGTAAGATGCTCTGCAATCTCATGCCAAAGTCCACTACAGTTTCTCCTTCCTCCTGTTTAGAAGCATAGAATTGCTGAATCAGCTTCTCACTGGGGTAGATGTTACCATAGACTCCATCCAGTTTGGATAATATCTGCTGAGGAGTTGCGTCTGTGGGAAATGTAAGCAGTAGACTCCTAGCTTTATCCTTTAAGGAGGATCTTATTGCTTGAAAGATTATGTGAGTTGCACAAGCACCATCCCTGAGAGCACACTGCACATCATTTTTCCAAACAACAAATGCTGTCTCATTTTTTTTCTCTCCAGAAAATACAGAAAACCGAGGACGAACAGTTGATGAATCAAACACAAATCCTGAGCATGTATCCGAATGTGATGGTTGAATGTGTTCCTGAGGTTCAAATTTGACTGTTGATGGTTTGCGAACTTTTGGCCTAGCTCCATCCTCCGCGGCGGGTGTGCTTTGGTCCAAAGGTGTCCTCAATAGCTGGTACTCATCATTTGTCAAGATCTTATATTCTGTGTGCTCAGACAAGTAATCGATCATACGTTGGATTTGCTGTTGATTAAGTGCACTGTCTTCACCCTTCTTCAAATGAACGCTTTGATCTGATGCCATGATTTTGCTTAAGATCTCTAATCACTAAGTACTATTGTAACTAAGCTCTAATAGTATATCAACTTGTGTAAAACTAATTAAGAATCTAACTCAAGAACTGTAAATAATTAAAGCTTTTTTACAAATCAGTTGTCAGGTTTCTTCTTGCAAATAAATTTAACACATGATAATCAATGCTGAAAAAAAATCTAGATTAAAGGCTGAAAAAAAAATTAAATTAATAAATGCTGAAATAAATTTAAAATTAAATTCTGAAAAAAATAATTCAATTTAAATTGAAAACACACTAACTTCTAAGTCTGTAGCTGAAAATAAATAAATTAAGGATAAATACTTTCAACCTTGGTCAAATGCAAAATACAGTATTCACAATTTAGTATTCCTGTAATAAAGTGTTCTATGAAAGATAAATCGTCAATTGCAATAAACTAAGGGCAGATAATTCTACACAGTGATCAAAGGTGTGTCTGCTCAAGCGTGACGATCTTCGCGATAGCACTCGTCTAGACTGGAAATTTAAATTTATTAATAGCACTATACAAACTTGAATACTCTGCACAAACTAATGGTTTCAAAGTGTATTATATAAAGAAAAAAACCAGTCAAAATAATATTCTACTATATATGTACACTACAATAACTACTACTGTCTAATTCTAACTTATAAAATACACATAATTATATACAAACCACTGAACGCGATTCGCGATTGATCTAGATCTCAGGTAAACACAGGCAAAGGCTTCAGAAAAGACACGATTACATGTAGAACCGACAGTGTAATACTATCTAGGTCAATTTGTGTATCAACCAAACACTCTCTAAATATATACACTCTACCGACAGACTTTGAATGACGGACTAACCAGAATAAATACACCTACATGTAACACCTGAAATGTACGTTGACTGTGCTTTTGATCAGGTAATATACTAATACTCAACACTGATACCCAAAGCTCAACTTATACGTGGTTCTATAGGCACACGTTATACACTATACTACTATCGTCCAAATGTCAACATTGTCAAACAGAAAGTAGAGAGTAAGAAATGAAAAGAGGGTGTTAGTACAAGCATGCAAAATTTACTCGCGGTTCCTAACTTTAAACTGAACGAAAAAATGAGTTCAATTGAAACTTTTCAAACTGAACAAAATCAAATGAAATAAACTGATAATTCACATCGTAAAAAAATATGCAGCTGCAGTTTAACCAACAAAAAAAATATACAGGTGTACTTAACAGAGGTGAAAAAATAACACAAGTGCAAAAAGGGCAACTTTACAACCTTACCGTACGTACGTACTCTTTCTGTATTTCTACTGGCCAGGCAAAATATACATGTATACACAAATCACTACACTAAAGTTTTATAATACCGGTAAGTCCATGGACATCTTAGACGTCATATTATGTCATATTCACTTCCGACATTGTCACAGTCCAGCAGTACTACGAACTGAGTTAATCACCACAGTACACACACGGGAAACTTCACACAAGGAATGGAGTGCAGGGTCCCTACATGGGCGCCATTTCTGTAACAGGGTTTTCTTAGTGAAGACAAACTCCTGCGGCTAAGGTTCTCATATATAGTTTATTGTAAATGTATTATAAACCAACAAACAAAGACTTGAAAATATCAATAACAAATTGTAAGTATTTAGAAAACAAACATATTACATTTATAATAATATTCATGATGAATTTAAATACGATTACTTTATAATAATAGATCATAAAAGTATTACACATTATACTGAGCATTGAAATAAATACATGGAAAAGTAAGAGTTATTCCCCTTACATCAACGTATTGAAAACGAGAATATAAATCGAACTATTCCAAATAGAACTATTACAAAAAATGAATAGTTCACAAATCTATTTACAATAATATATACACAATAAATAGAAAATAATAGTAGGTATACCTGATTGTGGATCAAGGCTCAAACAATAAGGCCACCCGATAAAATAACTGGTCTTGATATATAGACTCCTATTAAACAATAATTATATTCTATATACACTTCTGCATAATTGATATTTACATACTCAAAGAATTTATACTTTAAGCTTCAGTTAATAATGATAAAGTTGAACCCAGTATATCTTCATAAAATTACATAAAAAATCAAAGACGATGAATTATCGGAAAGTATAGAATAAGAATTAGTATAGATAAAAGAAATAGAAGTCAACTTACAGTCTCTGTCCTGAGGTCTCGTCTCAATATTAGGTATAGTAAAAATAATAATAATGACCACAATATGTATATGTATATCTTTCTCAATGGTCTCTCGATATCTAAGTCATCAAACAAAAAGATCGGCGGGAAAACGTCCCTAACCAATCGCAAGCTTGGTTATTAAAACTGACCAATAACATTATATACCCTCAGGATAAGTAAGAACTCCTAGAACATAAGTAAAGATTAAAACCAAATGAAGTTGTAATATTTTATTAATTTTATTAACGGTGCGCGCAAAACTCAGCGAAATCGAAATGCTGCGCGATCGATGCTAAAAATAAAAATATATACGTGAATATTAAGTCACTGAACTATATAATATTCACTTAATAAAATAAATTAAAATATCACTCTATCACACTACCACGACTGATAGTTTCCAGAAGGAAGATGAACTTTGAACCACAAAGAAATGTCATTTTCAAAATACAAAATTTGATAGAAATTAATTTGTTACTCTGAAAATCAATCATATTTAGGCACATGGTTGTTTATGCACTTTAGAATGACATCACACATTAAAACCAATATTTTACTTCGCACACGACTTACTGGTGTGTTTCCAATTCGTTGTCCTCTAGACTTATGAAATGAACAACTTCTCTCTCCTCGTCTACCCAGATCTAAAAAGCAGATATATTATTTTACAAACAGATAGTCTAATTGTACTTTGCTGTTTAGAACGTAAATAGGATAGCTTGGTGAAGGTTTTATAATATGGATTAATGATTTAATGAAAAGAGGTTATAGTCGAGCGATAGTCAGGTACTCCTTAAAATTATTTTTTTCATTTTCAGTTTATGTTCTTTCCAAACTGCTTGTACACTCAAAATTTAAATAAGCTAACGTCACATACAACGTATTTCTCAATATTAGCATTTACTTTGTAAAATACCTATACTACATGTTTCTGAATAAAAAATACTGTTATTGTATTTTTTTCTGAAGACACTTTATCAAAAGAAATTGAGTTGTCATATCTTCTCATGTTTCTCATACAAGATTTGAACTATCAGCTGGGTCAATAAAAACGTGTCCAACTGCAACTAAATTATTGACCAATGACTCTCCAAGTTAAAAGTTAAAGTGTATTTATTATCAAAACATAAAAAACTGGGATAAATCTTAATTTTGCAACTTTGCGCAAACAAAAGCCCAATCAGGAAAATTTTGTTCAGGAAAGGGTCAAAGCTTTCACACCAATAGACCAGTTGAAGAAAAAAATTCTTTCAATTCATTAATTTGAATTAAGAATGACTATCAAATAGCACATTTTTGATGAGTAAAGGGTAAAAACAATTAAGTCGATAGTCAATGTTGAGTCTTGAAATACCTGTTACACGTCAAGAAAGATAACTCTTAGTGTAGAAGTCTCCCTTAATAGGGGGAAGTTTTTGATGTCTTCGATGTAAGCTGCCTTACTAGGTAATAAATTGTGATCTGTAGTATGGAAAGCGTTTTCTGATTCTTACAATATAGGCCTAACAGTGTATATATAAAGGGACGCTCTTATATTATGTAAAAATTATATAACTGAGAAGTTCAGTGTGATTTTCGGTGTGAAACGCCTTTGTGACTAAATCCACAGGCACTTGTTTCGTATACGGGGTACCCCTACTTATTTTTACCAGAAGGTATCTAACTAAATTTCAGGCACCCCCGCTTCAATGACGGGAGGAGACCAATAGTCGCCAGATTTATTTACAGTCAAGATCGTGCTATGGTGAAGGATCGTGGATTCATGTTAAAGAACAAGCCTTACGGTATTCAGGAGCAGTTACCAGCAGACATGAGTGAGTGAAGAAGACATCTAGTCCCCATTAAGCACCGACTCCGTGAAGGGGGTAAATGTGTGAAACTTGTAAGAGACAAACTTCTTGTAAATGGCAAGCTTTACGTCCTGATGAGCCTCCACCTAATTCAGCTTCTAGTGGCAACGCTTAGAGACGCGATCAGAGTGGCCGCAGTGAAATCTCAGTATATTCTTGGAATATAGCAAGATGTCTATCCGAAAAATTGTCTTATTCTGAATTTGTTTCACTGATTGTCAACTCCGACGTCATTTGTCTTTGGAAATGTTGGATTAATTCAGACGATGAATTTCACTTAGCAGGATATGAACATTTCAGTGTTCCCAGAAAAATAATAGGTGGAGGAATTGTACGTTTTTATAAGAGTTATTTTAAGTTCAAGGATAAAATTGGTTTAGAACTTATTTGATAGTGTAACTTGCTTAAAAGTTCATTCTGAAACCCCAATATTTTTATTTTATTGTTATATTCCATCCGAAAATAGTTCTTTTAATGAAAAACTCGATGTCATTTTTTTACAATTACTTGAGGAATCATATAGTGAATTTAAGAACGATGGTCCAGTGTATATTTTTGGAGATTTCAATACATGAACAGCAGAATATGACGACTTTGTTAGACACGATAATTTATCACGAGACGGTATTCATTCAGATATTTTAAGAGATAATTATGATGAAGATCAGGTACCGGTAAAGCGTAATATGGATAAATCTATAAATGGTTTGGTTAGACAACTTTTAGATTTTTGTTAATCTACTGCTTTTCGAATTGTTAACGGCAGAATAATTGGTGATGGATCAGGTAACTTAACTTTTTTTAGTAAAAGAGGTTTTAGTTTGATTGATTATGTATTGACTAAAAATAACCAATTATCCATTATAAGTAAGATTTTACTGTCTTTTCTGATCATTCACCCGTTTCCTTTAGTGT